CAATGATGAGAGCAAGGGACTGACATTTATCAATCAACAAGTGGCCGGAAACAGAGGGGGGTGGGGAATGAACACACAGTTTAGGAGACAGACAGCAGGTACAACAACAAGAAACAAAAATAAAATATGCAAGAGGGATCAAGACTCACAAGGACTGAGTCCCTGAGTGTGGAACTGCTGCGCAGCCTCAAGCAACTGTCCTTGAACTGTGCCCACGTTGCGGATGAGCGCAACCTGGATTAGGAGGAAGAAGGGCATGAAGAGCACAGTCCACACGGTGCATACACCACGTTGTGAGGAACAGAGCATTGCAGCGCCCGACCGCCATTGACAATCAGTCGTCCGCCGTGAAGAGCCACGTTCTAGTTATCGTCTTCACACCACTGCCGTCCTTGTCCCCGACAATGGCCTCCTCTGCAACGTCGTCAGACGCATCCATGCCACTGCAAATCAATATCAGTGTCAGTCAATCAACTTTTCTTTTTTCTTTTTGCTCCTTGAACAGTGAGGTATGATGTGGCAGGGTGGACAAAATAAATACAATGGTAATATGATGATCATCAGTACTAGTGCTGGATCATAGGATGAGGTCACGTACCCGAGCGCTGAACTAGCAGCACTGGCGGTGGAGTTGCCGGCGGCAGCGTGGCCAGCAGGGTGCCAACAATGGCAAATGCAGCCAAATTTGTTGGCGTGTGTGGCGCCGACCCAGGCAACGGCCACCAAAGAAGTGACTGTGAGCCCTACGACCATCTGCCAAGCCACCTTTCCGGCAGCTTCCGCCGCAAATCCTGCTGCTGGCCACTGTCGCCCTTGGAGTTGCTGCTGTTCTCACAATTTTTGTTGCCGCATCACCACTTAGCTTACTCCTAGCGCCACTGGTGGTGGTGGTGGTGTCCGCGCTGTTGATGGATTGCAAGTGAAACATGAATCCATGAACAATACACTGTTCTGCACTTAGCATAATGCACAAATCATTCAATCCCTCACCAGTTGTTGTTGTTGTTGCTATTATTACTATTATTATTGTTGTTCTTCTGCTGGTCTGCGCAGGATTCCACGTCCACTGACGGTGGCGCTGCGGTAGAGCAAGAAGGCAAGCAGAGCGTTATTTTATCGTATTCCACCATCAAGACCCTCTATTGGCGCCTCAGCATATTAAAAATTAATAACCATATATAACACTGCACTACAGCTGTCTTTGGAACCTATACAGTACTGGACTATACTGGCATTCGCGGTAGAGTATAAAGTATACTTGTTGGATGCTCCAAATTCAAATCAACTCACCAAGGATGCTGCCACTGGAAGGTGCCACTGGTCAAAGCAGATTCATTTTGGAGACGCCAGTTTTCCGTGGTGGGAATGGCAACAAACGTTTGGCAGCCCCAGTTGTGGAAGACAACTTAGTATTGTTTGCCCCGCCAGCAGCAGACATCTCAGCAGGTATTGCTGGCACGGGTGTCATTGTTGAGTTGGCCGTTGACAATGATGACGTCGCAGCATTACATGGTTGCTGGGCTCGTCCAGCAGCTCACATTGTCAGCAGACACAACACAGAGCAGCCGTTGGTCATGCATCGTCACGGATGCTCTGCTGTCCATGGCACTGCTTGTGCCAATCCCGTTGTCGGCGTCGTCAACAGGAGATAGGTCCTTGGTGCGACTAACAACAACAGCGGGGACGTCGTCAGGAAGCTCTTTTTGCCGGCTGCGGGCCAGGACTGCTGTCATCAGAGGATGGGTCTGCGCCTTATTGCCGCCCCCTGCAGGACGGAAACCCGCTTTCACAGGCAGGGCAGATGACTTCACACGGCCGCCGTTCTGCTGATGTGGCTCTGCTAGATACAAGTATATATGCAGTTATACCGTCAACAAACAGTCCTTTATCTTCTTACCATCAATGTCTAGACTGTGGGCAAACATGTAAAAGGCAGACATTATATGCAGCATAGGATCAAGATGCTGCTGTGCATTCCCATAGTGATCGTCAACAGTTCAACGGAGGATGTTGAACGCTATCAGCCTTCCAAGCCCACTCTTAACTGACAAATAGCATATACACCTTTTCCACCAGCGAGTCCCGGCGAATTATAGCGCTATGGTAAAACAATGGGAAGTTTCACATCTGTATGCGTAAATGAATGGGAGTCATCGTCATACATTATACATTGCCTTCCTATATGGCTGATCTATAGAGTATAGACATCCAAGCATTACTCTCTGGAAAATTTTAAAATATGGATCTAATTTTGATTGCATCAAGATTTTAATTTGAAGCTTCCATCCAATGAATTGCTGCTATACTGAAAATCAGAAGCAATCATGCATACAAAAAGTCAAATTAATGTCTTTGAATGCAATTGTGAATATGAACTTATACTGGGTCGATATGCTCGTATATACACGTCACATGTCACAGATTCCATCTCAAGGCCCAACAGGCACTCAGCACAGGTTGAAATTAGTAAAAGACACGGAGTATTTTTCTTAAAAGCGCGGTTCTTAAAAGCGCGGTGTACTTCTCTTAAATGCGCGGGACTCTATTTAATTCATTATATCAGACCAGTAAACGTGATACTGCACCGCGCGATAGATTGAAGACATGGGAACGGCCATTTTGTTCCACAGGCATCATTCTATGTCGCTAGTTCTTCGTAATACCATACCTTCCTCTCCGGTCAGATGTCCAACTCACTCATATTCAGTGTGAAAGATTCACCAGAAAAGAATTTGTTTAATGGCATTGAATGCCAACATCCAGGTACACTCATCACAGAATGTGGAGGGATGATTCAGGGGGAGGGGGAAGAACCCTGCAGCAGTTCACGCATGCCCGTCTGTGGCAGCACTAGTACAGCTTTACCCAATGGGTCACACCAGTAACCCCAATGCGTAACGTCGCGGCACCACCCGCAGCGGGACCCTTAACAGCAACATCTAGGTTGCTATCAGAGAGGCGCCAGCACCCGGATTATTCTCCCACCCAGGCTTTGCCAGGAAGGGGATGGCTATGACAATCAGATCACAGGTGCGCAAATTCAGAGCAGGGAGATACATGTACTCCGTGACTTTCGATGCGATCACTTCCCTTATATTTTGACCTGACGTTCTGAAGAATGTAATGCAATATTGTGTTGCGGGAATCTCGGATTACGGAGTTGGAATTTGAGAATTAAATGCTCCTTTTAAAGTGACGCTGGCCGAGGACTCTTGTTTAACCTTACTAGTGATTGCGTCAAAAGTCAAGGAACAAATGAATCTCGCTGCTCTGAATTTGCGCACCTCTCATCCGATCATCACAGCCATCCCTTTCCTGGCGAAGCCTGGGTGGGAGGATAATCGGGGTGCTGGCGCCTCTCTGATAATAACCTAGAAATGTTGCTGTTGAGGGCTCTGCTAGGGTTCCCATACTGTATTCATAAATTCTGAGTATTCAACCGGCGGAAGCAGAGGAAAACCAAAAATTTCCGCGAAACCGGAAAAAATGAAAGTGATGTAATTTGTTTCTCAGATTTCAATGGATCGCTCTTCTCTCTTTGTCAATGCAACTGAACGTTTGCGGAGTCTGGCCGATGTGCCTTCAAAAGGTTGTTTCCTGATTCCGTAGTTGCTGATTGGACTTGTACCCGTTCTCGGCCATCTGTACTGGTTTTTCGTGTGATATTGTGCTATCGATTTGGATGTCTAAATAGGTTGGTTGAAGGTCATGCCGTCCAAAAACTATTGCAAACCTCCTCGTCATCTCTATCAGCAGTCGTTTTGACGTCGGTTGTGTGATGTGATGATGTCCAAAATCGTGAGCCCTGCTTGGTGCAACCTCACGATCGGAAGAAATATAGCACGGCGCCAGTATTAGAGCAGTCCGAGCAACGAGCGTCAGCCAGCGGCGGAGGTCTTCATCTGATGTATGTTGACCTCGATTCCACGCCCATGGCACTCATCAACACGACAGTGGATCCTGGAATAAATCTGAAGAATTGCCCATCTGGGAAAGCATGTGGAAACTTTTGTCGGTGTGTGTGGATTAGCCCTTTTCTTTTAATGATTTGGAAAGATTGTTCCATTAGGATGTGGTATTCTAGCTTTAACACAATTGACAATGATTGACTTGTTTCAGAATCTCAAAGGAAGTCCATAGCCCGAAGAATCCTTTTGAAGAAATCACAAGATTGGATATAGTGGAAGGTGGCAAGAAACTTGGCTCGGTCGATGGAGGAGGGGTCCCTGTTGGGGTTGCGTCGTTGCCACCTGATAAGAAAGAAGGGGGTCATTCCCAGAAAGGTGTTGGCTGTGAAACAAAGGATTATCGCTGTCCAAAGAACAGGTCTTCCTCGAATCACCCAAGTACTTTGTGTCCCCCCTCCCCCAAATCAAGTAAGCATCATCCAGCGGAGTTGCGTGAGAAGAAAAATAAAAGATTATTTAATACGTGCTTCATGGTTAGGTGTGGGAACGGGTTGATTTGAATCGACATCGCCATCAATGGTTTGGATTATTGTTTCATCTGCCGCCGCTGGCATGTTCATATCTGCTGCCGACCCCCGTGAATGTTGTGCCCCTCAACACATTCCCTCCGGCAAGCGTGCAGATGCAGATGAAGCAACCTGCCGGTTCGCACACACCTCATAATAATGCACTGCCGCCGCCGCAATATCAGCAAATTCCGCCTCACCCGAGTTTCTTGCGCCCGTTCGTTTTCCAACGTTCGCTGCACTTCACGCCTTCCCCACGATCTTCCGGGACTTGTGAGCCAATGGCAGTGATCCAGCACAACATGAGAGACTTGCGGATGTTTAGTGTTCCAACTGTTCCTCCACCACTCAGGGGAGCAGCAAGAATCAACGATGTTGGGTGAGTGTGTTGCCCATGTAGAATGAATTGGTGGCTATGGTAAAAAAATGGTGTATCCACGCAGTGCATCAGTTTTGGCGCAATTCCGTGAGCATCGGCAGCGGTTGCCAGCATCGCGCGGATTTGTCGGTGGCGATGTTCACTTGCCCTTTAAGCTGCCTGCAAACTTGTTGCAGCAGTACGGCGATACACTGGTGAGGAAGAAAGAACAATTGTAAGACCGCCTCTTCATTGTCACTCGTGTTCATCGTTGTGTGGTCTTGTGTAGGTGAGTCCATTTGATCATGTGGAGAGCGTGCCATCGAGAGGCAGTGAAGCAGAGAGGTTCTCGGCTCTCTTATCTGAAATCTGGTCATTGTATGTGAGCTCACAGGAATAGCAGCAGCGGACCAAAGAAAACTCCAATTACAGCAGTTTTGGAACAATGCTTTTTGCGTAAGTCCATTTGCCACCACTGACTCACTATAGATCCATTTAGCAAAGGCTTGAGGAAATGAATTATACCCAGTCTGAGTATCGATAATATGCTGCGTCTATTAGGGAGTAGGAACTCAATGATAGCATTGGCTTAAAAACGATGAGATAGAGCTGAACAAATTATGTTTCGTGTGTTTGCTTTCCTCTTGGAATAGAGCTAGAGTATATAGGCTTTTTTTTTTCATGATGCAGGTAGTGAAAGTGCAGAAATGAATTCCGTGGAATCTAGGCTCTCGGAACAAACCCAAATTATGTGCATGAAAAAAAGAATAAATAACGAATAGGAAAAGATGTCTGCATTTTCGAATAAATGAGTAACGTATAGCGGTAATGACAACGCAAAGGAATGGCTGAAAAAAAAAAACCCTCTTGTTAGAATGCCTGTATAGCAGATGTTGTTGTTTCAGGCCCATTTCCGCGGCCGTTTTCCACACGGGTGTCATCTGGTGCTTGTGGTGTCTTCGGTGAACGGGTTTGGATTGGACACAAGTGACGCGGACATGTGTCTGATTGTGTCCAACTCTCTGATTGACCAGCGGGACTGGGCACCGCTCATCCTCACGGAAGTCATGCTGGTGTTGCACAGTATTCTGGATTGACGTCTCAGTAAAACCGTGCTTACGCTGTACTGTACTGTATTGTATTTTTATGCCGAAGAAATTCTATGTTTTGCTAGCTGTCCGCGGACTGATGTACGTGCCTGCCAAGATCCCCTCGGTCAAGTTCACCAACGTGCGCACTGGTATCAACTGCAACAACACAGTGGGCCTGCTCAACACTTGACTCTTGCACGCCTACGCGGACCTGGACTGGCGCGTGCAGCCCCTCGTCATGCTTGTCCAACTCTGGGCCCAGCGCAACAGCATCAACGACGCCCGCTGCATGACCACCTCGAGCTACTTGCTGGTGCTCATGCTCATTCACTGTCTCCAATGTGAGGAGTAATTTTTTTATTCAATTTTTTTGAACTGACTGGATTGTTTATATTGCCTTATTCTGTGTATTATTATTTTTATTGCAGGCGGGGTCTGTCTAGCAGTGTTGCCATCACTGCGGCGGAAACTTCCGGACCAGTTCCATGGCAGCAACTGTCATGTGCTCAAACTGGACATGCACGAGGAGTTGCTGATGAAGCAAACTGAGAACACGCTGAGTCTGGGCGACTTGTTTGCCGGCTTCCTCGACTACTTTGCCAACTGGTTCCAATGTGACCGTCACGCCATCTCTGTCATATATTCATATATGACGAGACATATACTACTGTATATTCATATAGTATATTCATTAGTGTGTTGATCACTGGATGAATAGAAAAAGCTTTAAAAAGTGAAAAAAAAAGCTGCGGAAACAGCGGGGCAGAACACAGGAGCAAGCATCAGTCAACTTCATCAGTTGGTCTCACACTGCAACCTCGGGAAGACAATTCTGGAGCAGTAGCTTTGCAACACTGAGTGGCGGGAGAGGCATTCTCCTTGGTCTCAAATACTTTCCCCCTTGGCTGGCGAGCAGTAAGGCAAGCCTATGGCGCCTGCCTGCTCCCTCATCATCCTCTGTCCCTGCGTGACTAATGTGTGTTTGAAAAAAAGAGCAAGCAGAAAAAAGATCTCGCCAGTCCCCCTCCGCCCTCTGCCCCATCACAGCTATACTGTATATGCTTGATTTCTGATTATACCCTGCTACTCCCTTGGTTCCCATGAAATTTTTGAAAAGGATGTCGCTGTAAAGATGGAAAAAACAATACCATTTCAGTTTCAATGCTACATTCAATACTGTGTGACGATCAGCATGTTGAATGCACACTGTGGACAAATGGCTCTCCCTCCAGCTGGCTGGCTCACCTCACATATCGAAGTCCGGCACAGGAAGCTTAGCCAAACAAGCCAGCCACCTATACTCCAGTAGCTGTACATTTCAAAACGTACAAAACTCAATATATTGTAATGATTTCTGTTTGATTGGAAATTGATGAATGCGGGAATTGTTTCTTCGTTCTAGTTTATGAGAGAGGAATCATGCTTGACAGAACTGCTGGGCTGGACCCAGCTCTCCTCTCTACGTCTCGCTCACTTTGAATAGGAGTCGACTCCAATGCTTGCATGGATCCAGTTCAAGAATTGTCAATGGATCCTTGTGTTATGTGTTGCCCCTGGAAGAAGGAGTGGAACCAAATAGTTCCAACAAGATACCACCAACCTCTCCTACAACAACGCAATCATCCTCCACTTTGTCTACATCTGTGGGTGGCAGGTCTTCTGCCATTGGTCTTCCCCAGCCTACACCAACTACTGGGGGCCACCACAGATTTTCACCTGATGCCATGTATGGTTACTTACCACCTGCTTCCCTCACTGAAACCAACAGGTAATTTTTACATCATTCTATTTTATTGCATAAATACCTCAATGAGCTGTGTAAAAGAATATATTCATGTGCTGTAGGATGCAGACCACAATTTTCTCAATCAAATTGGATTATTTCAATATCTCCCACAAATTAAAATGCATAATTATCTTAAATTGAAGATTCACTTGTATAGTGCACCATTTTTTCTGGTGTGTTCCATACTTGAATCATAAATTCAGTTTTTATTGGAGCGTACAATCAAAATAAATTTTCTTGTGGGTATTTTGAGCATGCGGTTTTTTCAGTAAAATGTGATATTCAATTTGGGTATCATTAACTGGATGCTCAAGTTACCTTGAAATTGTTTGTACATGCTTGCTCCAATGTTTCAGCTCATTGTTTGTGAGAGGTTGAGATTCATATTGGTCCTGTGCTAAAAAAATAGTGAATGAGTCAAAAATATATTTTTCAAATGTCTTTTGCTGAGTTATAATTGTCAGAGGCAACCTAAGTCAGTTACTCTTTCTTGACATTAAGACAGATCCTCACATCTCTTGAAATCCCATTTCCACCCATGAAATACAAGCGTACACTCTTTCTTTGTACAGGGTTTGAAGAAAGAGATTTTGCCTCTGTCTGGAATGGATTGCAGATTGCAATCCGTTTTTAAACTGTTCAAATTTTCCCCCTGTTCTTAATTGTATTGCATTTTTTCCTAAGGTTTGCACAGATGGCAATTTTGATGAGTTTTTGATTGTATTGAATTTGTTACAGTCATTAAGGTATCGCATTTTGCCCAGGAGATGCAGGGCCTTACACAATACAATGATAGTGCAAACAATGCACTGTGCACTTGTAGATTGAATGTGCATAATTGTACAAGACTCCGCACTTTTGCTGAGTAAAGAGAGAGACTCTGATTTGCCATCTGGCTGGGTAAATCAAGCATAGCAACAAGCTGCTTTTGGTGCGTCAAGGAACTCATTTACAGGCAGTAATGGTCCCAGAAAAAGGGTCCCGCAGGGATCCCTTGTTGTCAACTTTCCGCGCCTGCTCAGCTCCCCTCCTCTTCCTTCCTGATATTTTTGGTGCGTGGGACAACCTGCCCTCAGATACCCCTGTCTGTGCATACTCATAAAATAACATCTGAATTAATTTTAATTTTGTAAATTTAAAACATTTATGTGATTTATCACATTTTTCAGGTAGGTTGGGTGAGTTACGTTAGGTTAGTTTAGTATTGGGGTTTTGGTGTAGGTTTGGTTAGTTTATTCAAAGAATTTTTGAATTATTTTTAATTTTTTAAATTCAACATATTTATTCGATTCATTGCATTTTTGGGGTAGGTTAGGTTAGGTTAGGTTAGTTAGGTTAGGTTTTTTAGGTTAGGTTAGGTTTTTTAGGTTAGGTTAGTTTTTTAAGTTAGGTTATGTTTTTAAGTTAGGTTAGGTTTTTTAGGTTGGTTAGATTTTTTAGGTTGGATAGGTTAGTTAGACTAGGTTAGTTTAAATATATAATATATTGGAAATCTCCTTTTGCAGCATTGTGGTTTTCCAAGAAAAATGTGTCCCCAAAATACGGACTATGCTAGCTGTCTTCTGATGCCGGACAGGAGGGGTGGCGAGCGGCATCCCTGTCACCCTGTGACCCTTTTTCTGCATTTTTTGGGTGGGTTAAGTGCAGGCAAATGAGGGGGGAGATCCTTTTGGTGACCCCCAGAGCTTCAGATTACTCACCCCTGCTAAGATTGCTGAAGGTCAGGGGGAAAGCGCCACCAAAGGCAGCCCTTTTCCTTGAACCTGATAGCATCTTGCACTTTGCACAAACAAAGCTATGCACCTTGGAAACAACACCAGATGTTTTACCCCCAAAAGGGGGAGGTTGAGATTAGAGACAGTCTCTGGGTATCAGTATAAATTTGGACACAGAACCAGCCTGACGTTCTCCACTATTCTTGCGCCAAGAACAGTTGTTTGTTTTTGACTTTGCGTTTGGGACTTGTGTTAATAATGCAAATTGATTTAAGGTTTCAAACCACCGTTATTCTAAATGTTCAGTAATTGCGGCAAGAGTTCTGTTTTGGGCATGTAAGACTCAAATATTTGGAATTGAGTGTTATATTTGCTTACTGACATTGCATTTGAAGTCCTGGGTTTTGATCCTTCTTCATGTTGTATTTGTTTTATAGCTTATACGCAAACAGCATGAGGTGGGTGTATTTGATGTTGTCCAGTTCTTTGAAATAAATGTAATTTGACAATACGTCCTATTGCCTTCCTTGTTAGCTTTATCCTTTCAGAACTGTACAACTATTAATTTCAGGTTTGCCTCCTTTATGTCCGGGCTGTCCATAGGGCGGTTTTCCTTCTTACCACCTTTGCCTCAACTTCCTTGAGTCCAGGAAATATCCTTCAGATATTTTATTCTATCAAGGTACTTGCACTCCTTGGCAAGGTTATTCCAAACACTGAATCCCCGCAATCGACAGCACACTCTTTTATCAACTTTGCGATTATACAATCAACTTCATCGGAGGCTGGATATGTTAATGAAGGGGTTTCCGCAGGACGACATTTGGCATTTCTATCCACCAAGGGTTTTATGGACCCCCGCCCCTCAAAAAGAAACGGGGCTATCCACAGGGCCGAAAAAATCCTTTGATTCTTGGGTAGGCCGCGCATTCTATACGTGCAGCACGGATTTCCTTTTCACAGCTGTGCACATGAAGTACACCATTGTTCTGCACATTGCCTGTATTATTGTGCCTGCATTTGAGAGGAAGCATCCGCAGTGAGAAAAAAAAACAAGAAAAGGTGGGTTGATCATCACCCAACACGTTCATCAGCAGGAGCACAGCACAAGGCATATGTTGTACAATGATGTTCAAAAGGTTGAAATGACAAGACACGGGCGGGCTGTAGGGTAATGCACATTTTAAGGCTCAGTCAGATCACGTGATAGGTAATGTTGCTGCTGCTGCCGCTGGAGACACAAGGAACTTAAATGAGCAGAGCTGCATGACCCGGCAGTGGACCCGCCACTGCCCGCTATCATCAACATTGACAGCATCATCATTAAAATTATTTGGCTGTTCATTCATTGGCAGCTGCTTGCGCTTGTCTGCATCCACAGAAGGAGACGGAACAGCAGTTGTTGGCTTCTTCTTTATTGTCTTAGTGTCCTTTTCTTCTTCTCCTTGTTTACTACTTGGGAAGTCATGCAGACCAGTCAAGGACGTGCGGACAACTTGCAGGCCACCAAAGGCCTTGGAGTTGAGCATGAGAGACACGCGGTCTGAAGTGGCCACGCTTGCAGCTTGACTGCACAGGGATGAGGACAAGGAGCATTGGAAGCCCCTGTTGACACCCTGGTGATGCAGAGTGACAAGAACCTCTTTCTTTCCCATCTTAATCACGTGATCCTGGGGATCAATGATGTTGTCCATGCTGCTGATGCCTGTGGTTTTAGTTGTTGCTGATGTTCCTTGCCGATGTTTTTGCCGCCTCCAGTTGAAGCGCATATTGAGCAAGTGCATGTTGCAGGGCAGGGACTTGACCAACATACTGGAATGGGCAATAGGTGATTTGCCAGCAAGTATTGCTGATATTTTCTTGTCATCATTATTGATGGCAACACTGGCAGACACATTGTCAGATGTGGATGAAAGCAGAAACAAAACAGGTGGGTGGGCCAGATGCCTGGCCACTGCCACAGCAATTGCAGAAGGCAAGAGTTCTTCTTCATGCTGCTGCTGTTGCTGAGCATCCTGTGGATGAAATGGTGCATCATCCTTGTAGTCTTGATGTGATTGTCCACTTGCAGCAGCATCAGCCATTGCTGATGGATGATGATGATGATGCTCTTCCTCCTCCAAGAGCAGAGCAAACTTGAACGCCGTCCTCTTGGGATCCTCCACCCCTTCGCCAAGGCCCTTGTGGTCATCAACATGTGCAGTCCTGTCCAGCATCACGTCCATCACACCAGGGGCTGCACTGGCTGTCACGCCATGACTCTGTCCACTGACAACTGTCACTCGTCGTCGTTTCTGTTTCCCCTCCTCTTTCTTGTCCTCTTTGTTGATGCTGGTTGTCTCTTGAATGTAAAACATGGACGTCATGGGGTAGTAGTTGGCAGCAGCATGGAGGTCATCAATGATGAACCGCTTTGTCATGTGCAGGCCCGACGAGTCCGTGTAGAAGGCGCCACCAACATCCCGCAACCCTGTTTTGATGCGCAGGAACACTTCCTTGGCCATGACGCGGAACTGGTGGGCATTGAGCGGGTGGCCACGCATGTGCAATGTCAACTGTGCATTATAAACAATAAATGCCTCTTTAATAATGTACTGTAGTATAATACAGTATCATGTAAAAATTCACAATGGATGTGATGCAAGGTACCCAGTCAACCGCCAGCCAGGGCAGTCCTTGGCATCCCCAGCCCACCAAACCCTGATTGCCGGAGCACCCAACAATCTCGGGAGACTAAAATTGTGTTGATTCTAAAATCCTGGTTGCAGTGACTTTCCAGGCTTTGGTGAGCAGAATGGTTTCCTATACCAGAGCAGATTTCTTTTTTGTACAAAATTTCATCTTATGAAAATTTGCACACCAAAGAAAAACTCATCAAACCCAACCTAAACTAACCTAACATAACCTGAACTAACTTAATCTAAACTAAACTAACCTAATGTAAACTTACCTGACCTATAACCTAACATGCAATTTTGTGAAAAGAAGAATCTGTTGCAGGAAACCATTCTGCTCACCAAAGCCTGGAAAGTCACTGCAACCCGGATTTTAGAATCAACAAGAGTCTAGTCACCTTATAGTTGGGGTGCCTTGGCAATTGGGTGACTGGACCTTGGTTGGGTGGGTTGGGGAGGCCAAGGACTGCCCAGGCTGGCAGTTGGAGGGACCAGGCGCTGACTGTTGGGTATGCTGATGGAATACCCCCAAGCGCACAGGAAAAATTATGTCCTCATATACCTAATACTGTACATGCATGCAGTTTACTGTATATTACCACTGTAAGTGAGTGACTTAATGTAATGGGCAGTACCTGGACTTGCAGGGCTTCGGACAGTGACGCAGGCTCCTTGAGAAGGGAGAAGGTGAGGTTTGCGAAGTCATTGTAGAAGGTGCGGACGGTGGACACTAGCTGGCCCTCGGTGATGACAGAGTGTGGCCGGATGCCGGCCAACATGTCCCTTGACTGGCCACGGAACATGGATGAGTAGGCACCAGACATGCCTGCAACAGGGTCATATGCCCTCAGCTGGACCGACAAGGGGTGCCACACGCCACTTCTGCGGTCCTGCAGCCGCACAGGCAGGCCAGATGCTGAGTGGCATTCAAGTTGCCAGCGGGAGTTGGAGATGCGGAAGGACAACTGCTGCTCTTGTTGGTCATCAGCCACCAGTCGAGGTCCTTCCACAAAACCATCATCATCATCATCATGATTTTTATGACCAGCAACACTTATTGATGGCGATGAAGCATTTTTCATTGTATTGCTGGTGTTGATGTCCATGGTGGTGGTGGTGGTGCTGGTCAGACTCCTGAGTCGCAAGTGGGACCTCACAAGAACTACCTTGTTGTGCTTGGGATGATGACTCCCAAATGATGATGATAATGAGGCGACTCGCAGGAAGGCAAAGCCCAGGGGTCCAATGGCCACCAGCACTTCCACCTCAAACCAGGCCCTGGATATGATGTACTCACCATCCTGCACGCCGCCAGACAGTGGGTTCACCTGCAAATCAAAACAATGCAGCAGTACTGTATACACTGAATATTTGAAAATTCCAATAACAATGCAGAATTGCAACTCCTGTTTAATTCGGGACCAATTAAGCCATCAATTTTTCGTCTTAATTTTCCCAGAAAACAATCCATCAACTCTTGCTGCTGCACAAATGGTGCATTAAAAAAATACTCAATCATTCATTCCTGGTAAGTGATGGAGAAAAATAATAATATTAATAATAATTATAATAATAATATTGAGAAGAAGATGATGAAGAAGAGGAGGAAACAGCCAACCTATCTTTTGAATCCATTGAGGGGCTACAGCATTACTACTGTATATCTTTTGCTTTCATTCCTTGCAAATCACCCGCACTGACACGTGAAAAAAAAAAAAATTGGACAAGGAAGTATTGAAAATATTTTGTTTCACAGCGCTTGTATTACAGCTTCGAATTGAAGACAGGTAGTCACTTCTCTATTTATCCACTACCACCATGTTGTGCCATTATTGGTGCTTTCTCCAGAAGGGCAGACTACAAAAAAAAAAGAGAAAGAAAAAACCAACAAAAACACGGACATGTATACACGCTTGGATAAATCTATATTGCAGCAATATCAACATTGCTGGAGTTCATGCAATGGGAAAGAGTCAATCGATTTTTCATATGGTCTTAATTAATTACTCTTATAATGGATATACAGTACTGTCCCAACAAAAACACATGATCAATATTATCCCAGTACAAAGAAAGTGGCGGGGGTGTGGAGGAGAGAAAGAATATGTGTATACAGCACTTTAAAGTAATGTATATGGAATATATGGTATAGGTATGGTACTGTACTGTATAAAACAAACAGTAGTGATTTCATGCTGCGAAATTGCATTGGCAAATACTGTACTGTACAGTATTATATATACAAGGTACACAGAGTGTACTTCAAATAATTTTTTGTACTACAGCTGCAAGGAACAGAATAAAGAAAGCTAGCCAATGCACAATAGTAATAATATCAATAAGAATAATACGACATATACCTGGAAGTCGAGCGGCTTCCCGTCCTGGTCCAGCACTGCCAAGTGGCTGGTTGTGACGCAAAGCTTGACAATTGCTGTCCTGGCCTCGGCTAGCGGGTTGAAGGCAACAACAACAACCATGTCCATCGCCTTTCTTTCTGTCTTCTTGTTGCTGTTGTTGTTGTTGCTGCTGCTGCTGCTGCTGCTGGCATTGACAACATTGAGGCACCGGATGGGTGATGACTTGTCCCAGGATAGGGGCACGAGCTTCATGGGCACAAACCGAGGTTCTTTATTGGTCACACCAACCCCATTGCTGCTGACATGGTCATTGTCAAGGAGAATGAGGGACACGCCCCAGGCCTGGGCCCTTCGCGCATCTGCAATGCCTCTTCTCAGGCGCCGGCCATAGTCAGCCATGACGGCAGCCCTCGATGTGCCTGTGATGCCATCGTGGTGCTGGAACACAGCCAGCTCAGCTCGGGCAGTTGACAAGAGTGAGTAGACGAGCGTCAGGATTTGTTTATCCTTGTTGCCTTTGTCTGCTGCTTCCAATTGTGTCACATTCATCATCCTCTTATTGACATCTTCATCATGCTGATTATGCTGCGATGGCAATGACGACAAAAGGTATGCATACGTAAAGAGCAACTCGGCAGCTCTAAGCTCACTCTCCAGGTCTCGGACAGCCCCCTGCAGCCAGCAGCACAGATGCAATGCATATACACATATAATGGATTGTATACTGCACAGCAGTCAGTTGCACTGTACAAGCAACAAGAAATATACGCACTTTCCAAAAGGGTCTCGAGGAAAAGTAGCCTGTCCAATAGTTGCCGGGCTCATGTGCCAGCGGGAAGAAGTCACCCTGCAGACTTGGGAACCGGGTTTGTCGCTCTCGCAGTGAGGAAAAGTAGTCGGAGAGAGTGCCAAACTGCACCTCTACACGGTACTTGTCCCTGTGGGTATTGAGGTACTCTGCAATGGCCTTGTAGTTGCGGTACTGCTGGTCAAACTCAACGTTGTAATCATATCTGCATGTACAGAACAATAATAATTAGTACAGTTTATACAAAATAGCAATAAGGAAACATCTGCAGTAATAGTAGTAAAGTAATTAGGGAGTATAGGCATGTGCATAGATGAAATATTTTTTTTTTTCAAATACAGCTATACTGTACAGTAATATGCTGTTGTGCTGTGCATCATGAATAACACAGCAAGACTAATACGGTACTGTACTGTACAGTAATGCCAGTAGAGTATAGAAATCACCTAAAATCGTCCCCCAATGGCTGCAGCAGGACGTTGTGCTGCAGTAACGACGCCGTGCGGCGGTACATGGAAAGCAGGAGCTCCGACTGGTTCCTCACATTGGCTGCAGTGATGGGAGTGTGCTTGAGGGAATATGGAGTGATCTGCCCCACGGACCGGAAGTCAAAATAGTCGCACACGCCGTGGAATGGACCACATGTGCCCGAGATGCTGTAGCTGTGGTAGGGCATGTTGTGTGTGAGACAGTCAAACTCGCCAAGTGGATCCCACCACTGGCGCCAGGCAAAGTCTTGTATCTGCATGCAATATAAAGTACAGTTCCATACATGTTATATACAGATACAGTAATCTTAACAGCTAGTGTAATGAGATTTGCTGGCAGCATGTGTTGTGTGATGCGGCTGTGGTGTGCATCCAACATTCATGTGCAGGTTCTGTGATTATAGATTTACAGTACAATGTACAGAATGTATATATAAATATACATATGTATGTAGATATAAATACTGTATACAGTATATACATATGATATATATATGTATGTTTGTATGTATGTATGTATGTAAATATACACAGTTCAACCTTGATAAGTCAAACCTCCCTAAGTCAAAAACCCCAAGTTGAACCTCCCTAAGTCAAAAACCCCCCTAAGTCAAATTTTCCCCCAGTCCTCTTCCAATCCCTCAGAAAATAATGTTAAAAAACCTCCCTAACTCAAAAAAGTTCCATGGGAAACCTCCCTAAGTCAAATTTTTGTACACAAGGAGGAACCAGAAATGTTTTTGTGGGAGGAGAGCAGCATTAATTTGATGCAGCATCCTCCCCCATTGATTGAACAAAGAGACACTGTTTCTGGCCCCCAGGTGCTTGGGCATATGGACAATAGCCCCAGCCAATAGATCACCCCAAAATCCCCTGCCCCTATTGAATTCATTGTCCCTGTTCCCGGTTTGCCGCATTGCGGCAAACCGGACAGAGAATGAATTCAATCCCTATCTGCTTCCGGGCCCCTGGGCTTTGTGTTACTGTGCGGCGTGCCCAAGCAAGGATGCTGTGCTCGGGTCATGCCTCATGGATGCAACGCCACAAAATCCCCCCTTTGGACGACGATGGCAGGCTGGAGACGGCCAAAGGACCCTGAAAGGGGGTCACATAGATGTTGCCTGTCGCCGGGGGCTGGGAGGTGTGAGGGTGCGGTGGCACCAGGGGACACAGAGTGTCCTTGACTGGGCAGAGGCCAGGAAGATGGTGGTGCGCAGGCACACCAGCAGGGCCTAAGAACAAAGGAAGAAGTTGTCATTCAAGTTAGGGATCCCACCCAAGGCGGATGTCCCAAAAGTCTCTGAAAAATGCAGTGTTTTTGTCAAAGCTCTGGTCAAGTCAACATGTCAAAAATGCGTAAAAATAGCAGAGGACCAGTGTCCATTGTGCCCGTCGGATGAGTTAGGTGTTGCACCTTGGATGGCGTGATCCCTCTGCATGGTTGTCATTGCTGCATTGGTGCGGCAGCCTTTGATCTGGTCCTGCTGCGTACGTACAGGGCCCCTGTAAATCATAGTAGAAATTGATGTGCCGCGGGCTTACCATGGATTGCTGACATGGCAGCCTTTGGGTTGTCAGTTGAAATTCTGCAAATGCATGGACGGCCAACTTGTTTGAAGTCAGCACCCTGACATGCATGCTCATCCTCTGGGGCTGCCCAAGCCCCAGGAGGGACCCAGTTTTCACCAGTGCTGCTGCCAGAGGGGGGTCTTACAGTTCTGTCAGGAAAGGCCGGTCCTCCGGAGCTGAGAAATGTAGCATTGCGGTGCGCCAGCGCAAAGCGATTGCGGCATTTCTGATTGTGTCGTCTTGATGGCGGAGTGCTGAGGTGTGTCTTCTTTGTTCCCTCCAGATCTTGTACAGCAACTTGCATACCAAAAAATGAATGAAAAGAAAGTGTAACACCACAAACGTTGAAGAACAGAATGAAATCCGCGCAACCATTTGCGTCGTATCACATAGATCCACGCGTCATTGTTACAAAGCGCTGCAGCCAACAACAAGCAAAACAGAAGATTGGAAACCTCACCGACAAGCAACATGGATGGAGGACAAAAGCAGGAACACAGCGGGGATCATCCCACAACACCAAAAAGACGTGCGTCCAACAAGGATGTCTTTGAGAACAGCGTGTCCTGTAAGTTGCTCTGTCTGGTACCAACCATTGCTTTGTATATAGATTGCTGACGCTGTGCATGTTGCAGATGCTGAGGAGGATGTGTCACCAGTGCTCGTCATTGCCGAGGCCACCCTGGCCAAAGCAGTGCTGGTTAAGGTAGCGGCGGATGCGGTGGAGGTGCTGACAGATGCTGGGGCATTGCCGTGTGCACGGCTTCCTACCATGGTAGAGGAGAACTTGGCTGTCCTGGCTGGATTAACAAAAGACAGCTGGCAGCACCTAGTTGCCTTGATGCCTGTGGCGGCATCCGTGGAGGGGGCAAATGCGTGTCAAAGGCAGCTTGAGGAGCAGTTACGTTGGGAGACTGTGGCGGTGGAGTTTGTCGCTGTGTTGGTGCGAATTGGCACCAATGATGTGAAGTTTCTGGTGTCCCAAACAGGGCATACGCTGTACACGTCATTTGTCAGCTTCTTCAAACAACTCAGGATCTACCATGCCAACTTGACAGATGCATTTGAATGCCCTGCGTTTGCGCCGGTCGCGTTGCCTTCTTTGGACAAGACGGATGAGGATGCCCACAGCATAATGCATGAACCGGACGGTTATCCAGTGTTGCCGGTTTGGGTCGGACAAGGTCTGACGACAGTTGTCCACTGCATCCATGCTGGTGGGTTAATGTTGCAGGCATTGCTTCATGGATGGCAGCAATGATACGGTCCTTTTTGAGCCTATGAACCCAAATGTACCCGTTGTGGGTATTATGCTGCCCCAATGCCAGGTGGGATGCTGATGTTGCTGATGGCGCCGTGCGCTGATTTCCAGCGGGACTTTGGTCACTTCTTGCCGCCGGCAGTGGGATTCATGGCGCGGGACCTGGCCATGTTGTGTATTTCAGCCGTGGCCTGGGTATCAGGGGAGGCTCCCACCTTGTACAGACTGTGCCCAGGACGAGCACCAGAGTGGCGGCAGGATGGGACCGCAACAGTCAGGATTCTGCCCTTGCAGAATCATGAAAATTGCGGGGCAAACGGGCTGAGTCTGTGCGTGCCACAGGCTCTGCCATTGTTGGACGGTGTAGGTGCCGCCGGCGATCCCTTTTTGCAGTAAGTTGAACCGTTGCGGATTGGGTTGGGCTTGTATTGATCAACTTGTGCTATTGCAGATTCGATCTCACTGGATTTTTGACGGGTGCATATGGGCACACATATAGCCACATTGACCTGCAGGGCAATCAAATGACGGCAACCCTGCAGCGCGCCTGCCTTCTGCAAGTTGGCGCAATCATCATGCATGCAGGCCACCAAATGGTGGTGGTTGAGACAATGGCCCATGGAGCATGGGTTGTGGGCACATTAGGTCACGTCTTTGTGCCTTACGCATTAAATTGGGTGAGATTTAATTGTTGCCACAATGCAGACAATGACGGTTGACAGGTTTGTGGGTGCTTGGTTTCTGGTGATGTTGTCTTTGTTTTTTGGTAAAAACTGTATGTACAAAATTTGGGCAGCCCTCTTGCTTTGAGGGATGCGCCCTTGTGATGATCTTTTTGTTGGTCCTGTTGGTTGCTTCCCTCTGGTATTGTTTGGATTCCCACTCCCCATGACCACAACCCCTTCTTGACCGATGCTGTGTTGGTTTGTTGGAAACGTTGTGATGATTTTTTTGTTCAGTGCTTGGTGCACTTGTTGTGGGTATTGAAACATTGTTGGCATTTTTGTTGTTTGCTCATGAAAATGCAGGGATGGTGCCCAAGTAGATGGGTGGGGAGATCTGGTTGATCTTGGTGCGGCCATATTTTGTCTCTGCTGAACTAATTTGTGATGAATTTTGAGTGTGGGTCTGTGCCTTGTTGTTGTTGGCAATAAACTAAGTTACTCCGCATCTTGGTGTTCACCTTACTTCTTCATCCAAATATAGATTCCACAGGGCGTAGAGCAGGTCATCATTGTCCTGTTGGACACTGTGCACTTGCACGTCCATTGGTTTGGGTACGGGCCATTGGGGGGGTGGTTGACCTGGAGGAGGCAGTGGTGGCAATGTGCCGCGGACCGGAGAGGGCTCCGGTTTTGGCAGATCAGGCTGCAGTTCCACCTCAAGTGGAATAAGGTTTGCAATTGACTGGCTACGCAGAATGTAGGGGGTCAAAGTTCTGTCGGCTCGGTACCGGCAAGAGACTAAGACATCCACTGCACGTATTTTGCCATTGCGCAGACTTGCACACACCGCGACAATCCTGCAAAGTTTCCACTTCAGGCGTGACATTGGCGTGTCACCCTTGAATGATGCAACTTTGAGCAGGGCTACCTGGCCTTCTTTGGGCTCCAGGTGCATGGGCCTGCGGCCCATGTGAGTAGGGCAGGTACGCAGCTGGGTAACATACCCCACGTAAAATGTGTGCCACAGGTCCTTCAAATAATCCATGTGCAATTTAGTGCACCATTGAAGCCCTTTCTCATCTGCGTACTCAAAAAACTGTATGGGTGGGGGACCGTAGCAGTACGGATCCCACGCCGCATCAGTATAGTCTTCTCCCCCCGGGTTCAGGAACATGGAGGGGGTTATACAGATTGGATTGTTCCAATCAGTTGGTAAATAAGTTAATGGGCGGGAATTGAGCATCCGCTCTACATATTTCATGGCTTCCATGATGGTTGACGGATATTTGAACTGGACCGCTTTGAAGGAGCATGCTAGGCGCCCTTTAATCATACCCATCATTCTTTTGTAGAACCCGCCCCTCCAGGGCACACAGGCCGCATTAAAATGCCACTGGATGTGGTTGCAGGCAAAGTGCTGCTCAAACTCCATCTCTTTGGCAAGCAGAAACCGTGGCCAAGCTGCCCAGAATGCTGAGCCATTGTCGGAGATTACGGTGGTGGGGCTAAGGTCTTGCAAATGACAGAATGTGTTAAATGCTGTTACAAATGATTCCAGGGAGATGTCCCTGACCGGCTCTAAATGAACTGCCTGAGTTAGCGGGCAGGAAAAAACACAGATGGACATTGTTTTGCCATCTAGGGTCTCAAAGGGCCCTGCAAGATCAACACCAACGGTCTCAAATGGCTTCATGCCAGAGTACCTGTTGTGTGGGAGTGGCGCCAAGGGTTGCACAAACGGCAGATTGTCAAACCATTGGCAACATGGGCACTCCCTGATTATGTTTCTCATGGGTCTGTGCCCCCCTTTCATCCAATAGCAATGCATGAGCTTTGCCAAAATCAAGGTTGTGGAGGCATGACGCCACTTTTCATGGAACAACCTGATGAACGCTCACAGGAGGGGGAAATGTTTCCCATCCAAGTGGGTAGGTGGATGAGTTCCTTGCGGGCTTCAAGCCTGCATTGCCATTGGGGCAGGGACACGTCTGTGTCCTGCCGACTACAAGACATGACCAGTAGGGTCGTAGGGTTCCATTGCAGGTCTGGACACTGCTTGTTCTTGGGGTTATTTGTGACATTTACCCAGGCTGTGTGGTCATGGAACTTCTGGAGGATGCAAATTGCATCATCTGTGGCTGTACCTTGCTCTTTGGCAGACCACCCAAGCTGATAGGGATTGACCAAGGCCCCACTGTGTAGGTGGGCCAGAGGTTTTGGGTCCTGGCAATGATGGCGGACAAAATACTCCTTGAACCTGGAGAGTGCCATCATTGTCTTTTCTACCTTGTCCCATGTCCCCACTTTATTGAAGAGGGAAAGGACGGTGTGTCGTTCTGCCTGGTACGCCCGTTTGGGATCTTCCTGACATTGGGCAAGGTTTGCTTGCACATTTAGTGGCAGGGCTGGCTACTGTGCGCAGTAGGGCAGCCACTTTGGGCCATGCCACCACAGGGTGGACTGTTTGAGAGTCAACATGTCGCATCCACATGACGCAAGATCAGCTGGATTGTCCATGCCAGGCATATGCCTCAATTGGTGGACAGCTGTGCTTTCTGCACTTTTTTGCGCTTGTGTTTGCACATAGTGATTGGATTGTGCAGCAGCGTTTTGTATCCACACCAGGGTGAAGGCCAAATCAATCCAATAATGAACTGTGTGCCGTTGGAGGTCCACCTTGAGGGATAACGCCTGCATCATCTGTGCTGCCATGGCTGCTGCTGCCAATTCCAGGCAATTGATCCAAAAGGTTGGGAGAGGGATGCCTGGCTCTGGGCGGCAGGCTTTGGGGATGACTTTGGACTTGCCCCAAAGTAACTGCATTTGCGGCTTGTCCCCCCCTGGAAGTGAAGTAGATGGCGACTCCCAAGGCAATGCTACTTGCATTGGAAAAGACATGTATATCCCCAGGCTCCTTGACGCATTTTGCGACTTTGAGGGGCACCTTGATGGATGCTGCTTGGAGGGCCTGGCAGATGATGTAGTGCCACGGTTTTGTCTCCTTCTTTGTGAGGAGGTATTCCCATGGCACCTTAGGGTGCTGTTTGTCAAAGCATTGCCAAAGGGCTTTGATGGTTGTGATGAACGGGGTTATCAACCCCAGAAGGTCAAACAAACGCCCCTTGACCCCAACAATCTGCCGCTTCTGCTGTCGCGGGCACTTGAGGAGTGCGGTGAGCAATTCCATGCACATGCTGAGCTTGTTGGCTTGCAGTGTATAGACAGCTCCCAGGACCTTGTAGGGTTTAGGATTGACAGGTGTTTCCCTTGGGGTACAACCGCCTGACTTTGGTTAGGTCAAAACTGCCCAGTTTGAGGGCATCTGTTGCATGCTGCAACTTGAGTTTGACCGCACAGGGATTGTCCCCTGTAATGAGG